AGGGGGCAGTGTCTCAAGCAGGAATTCAAGGACATGAGTGAACATGCCTAGGAATAAATCAGACAGGAGCACACCTCCAGGTGAAATGGAAAGGCAGCTAACTATAACCCAGGACTTCCTCTTGCTAATGTCTGCTCTAAGAGAACAGACTGTGGGACACAGTATTTTTAAATTTCAGCACAGCATTGTGCTTTGCTTCTTAATTTGAACATTTATTAAGATTTTGCATATCTAAAAGTCCAAGGCAAAATTCAGAAAAATGCTATGAACAGTCATGATTTTGTCCACATGGAAGATAATATTTTGTAACTGTCAAAAACACTATAGGATGCTATCCAGCATATTTTTGGCCCTTTTAGCTTTGGTACAGAGTGAGCCAGTACTGTCCAAGAATAGTTTACAGTAGATGTTGGAAACAACAGAGAAGTTGGAGTACATTTAAAGGATTCAAGAGAAATTCTCTAATATGACTCTTGCTACATTTTAGAGCCAGCATTTCTTCCCCTTGTGAAAATGAACCCATGATTTTTAAATGTATGTCATTGGGAAAGTATTAATCAACTGATGAACTTTGAAATAAGAACATAAGGGGAAAAACAGTCTGTAATTTTTATTTGAAGATGCTTGTGTAAACTAGATGCTTGAAGAGACTTGTATAAACTAGTCTCTGAGATAACTGGTCATATAATCCACCTTGCCACACTTCTTTCACTTTATTTTAAACGTCTGACTCAGGTTCTACCCATAAGGATCGTACAGATAAACCCACTTCTGTGGTTGCAGCAAAAAGGCAGCTTAAGGGATGATATGCCTACATGAACTCTGCTCAGTTTATGACTTGTAAAATGAATTAGCCAGGTAAGGTTTTAGCACAGAAGGAATAGCACAAGAACAAGAGAGAAAGTGTGCGTTTAAATCATTTCTTAAAATACACTAAATATTGGGCTAATTCTATAAATAAACTTGATTAAACATTGTATATCAACTCATTTTGTTTTCTTTCATTCACTCAAAAGCCCTGTTTATGAGCTAGGTACTGTATAAAGTGTTAGGGGTACAGAAATAAAGACAGCCACTGCCCAGGAATTTCCAGTTGAGTTGGGAAGAGAGACAAGTAAACAGTGTCCACAGTTGGGTAAGTGCAACGACAGGATTATGCCTCAAGCATTGCAGGGACACCTGGAATCTTAGACTGGAGATGGAAAGAGGCTGGGGTGTTAAAAGGGCTTGAAGAAAACAGAAAAAGTTGAGGGTATCGGCATTCCAGGGATAGGAGATAGTATGTATGAAAGGGGTAAAAAAGCTAGAAAAAGTACTGTCAGCTTGAGAAATCAAATGTCTCATTTTTTATCACAAGTGGCAAAACTACTTGTTTTAATCCAAGTCCTAATTCACAAAACAAAGTTTTTGAGGGTTTTTCGTTTTAAAATATGATTCCTGGGAGGGGGGACCAGGATGGGGAATACATGTAAATCCATGGCTAATTCATTTCAATGTATGACAAAAACCACTGCAATGTTGTAAAGTAATTAGCCTCCAACTAATAAAAATAAATGGAAAAAAAAATATGATTCCTAAAAAGCATTACTTCTGGAATTTTTATATTTTAGTTTCTGTACTATATCACTGACAACAGAGAAGCTGGGTAGAGAAAAAGACTAAAAGGTATGCAAAGAAACAGAAAGTCAGAGGAATATAGCGATGAGAAAACTACACAGACAGAAAGGAGGTGGTTTTTAAAGAGATTCACACGCACATGGTTATTGAATGAAGTTAGGCAGTGTCCCCTCTGAGGATTTTTTTCTCTCTTTGTCTCTTTCTCCTCTTCTTTCCCTTCCTTCTGTCTCCCTTGCTACCTCTCTCTCTCTTTCAAGAAATCCCCAAAGAGATCTAAGAACTTACATGCATGTATGGAGAAACCTAGTCCCACTGATGGTAGCTGGGGCAAAGCTATTCCTAACCCTCTTCATCGCCTTCTGTCCTCTTCTCCCTGCCCTTCCCCTCACTCCCACACCAGGCACCCGGGGAGGGGGCTGGCCAATTCAGACATTTGGGGGAAGGAGGAGAGGTTGGGAAGGAGGTGCTAAGGACCAGCTACTGGGAGAGGCGAACTTTCACTTCTGAGATGCACACTGCTTTGTCATCTCAAGTCAGGGAGAAGAAATGCAAAGAAATAAGGATGGGGAGGAAAAAGGCAACAGTGGATCTCTCTATGAAACTGTAAAATTCACTTCTGCATTGGAAAGGTGGGGAAGACCTTTTCTCCTTTTTGACAGACAGCAAGAACCTTCTGGGTATGAGTATCTGACTTGGGGCCTGACCTCAAAGGGGGTAAATGTGTACGTAGAAATATAGATGCAAAAGTTTAACTTTCCAATTCCTCTTATTTTTGTAACAACAACAACAGAAACGGAGCATGAGGAATCTGAAGGTTTAAAGAAGATTTATGTTATACCAAGGTTTCATTTCTGCCTGACTTGTGACATCTAGTGAATTAAAAAGCCAGTTTTAAATGCACCACATGGTATTTTTCTGGTCATTATCAGTCCGAGAGGAAAAAATGGAGACGAGGTACCGTTTACTAATTAGAATCCCAGTGATTAAAAAAAATTCCAGCAGGAGGAGCTCTAACATGCCTTAGAGTTCAAGCTTGAAAAACAAAAATACTGAAAGCAAACATAAAAACAGAGAGGTGGTGTGCTTTGCAAGCTGCCATGTCAGTGAACAAATATGTGACCGAGTCCAATTAAATGCTCAGTGCAAAGACAGAATGGCCCGCATTTTCTCTCTTCCACAAGTCTCCGTGTTCTGATGCAGTTAAACTGGGCACGGATCTGTGGTGTCAGGATGCAAAAAGTTGATTTCTGGGCAAGTGTAGAAATTACTCTTTTCTTCTTGAAGTATCATATTTTTTCTAAATGAGTCTTCTGACGCTGGCTCAAAAACTGCCATTTTAAAATGAAATCTTCATCAGTGTTTGAAAGGCACTACAAAAACTCCTAAATGTTCTTCTCCTTTACTTTGCGGCTTGTTGGACGCTTTTTTTAAAAATGAGAGAAATGCTGTGTTTGTAAAAACTGGTGCTAAAAGGGCAAGGAATCATAGGTCCCCTGGGCCATGTAAAGAGTCTGCAGAAAGAATTACAGCTTTCTAACACACTCACACACATCAACTGGAATACAAAGAATTTACTCAGGAAAACAGTGAGAAGTATATGAATTTAACAGTTACCGGATTTTGGGGGTAAGCCTTTCCATTCTGGACAGTGTTGTGGGAGAGGGATGGATGAGTGGGTGCATAGTATGATCACAATTACTTAACCTGAAGGAAATTTTCAACCAATCCCTTCTAATCATTTGCCAATAAGAAGTCAAACTTTTTGTTTTACACCTTAATGGTATGCCCATATTTAAAAATTTTATACAAGCTCCTACAGAAACTTTAACTAGACCAATTCAGGCCAAAAGTCACTAAATAAAGCTAGTCTAGACGGAAAAATCTATGAAAACCATATGTCTTTTAGGCATCTGTCTTACAAAAAACTGCCATCATCTTGGAGAAATAGTTCACAAATATGCTTTTAGGAAAACACTGCTGTAATGACCATGGGAGCTGTGCTCAAGAAGACTGCTGGAGAGAGTAAAGCTAGAATGTTTACAAACGAGAGTCTCTCATCTCTACATATATCTGTCTGTAACCATCACTGAGAGGATGGGCAAAGGCAGATGTAATTTATATTTCCACTCTTCTAGAAGGGATCAAAAAAATTTACAGTTTTGTTCCTCCACACCCCCACAGAATGTTAGACTAAAGGATCTCAAAGCATCTCTGTTCTCACTCACAGAAAACTGTTTTGAATAATCTTGTACGTGGATGGGGCCAAAAAACCAGAACATTTTCTTCTGATTATTACCTCATCCGGCAGGCCTGCCAAACACAGTTAGAAGGCAGGTGTCCGACAGAAGTAACCAACGGAAGACTGTCCTATATAACTGGGTGTAGGGCCTAATTTAGAGACAAAGGGGATGAGAAGGACGGGGGTACAAAGCAGGAATGCAATGAGAATGCAGTAAAGACAAAAAAAAAAGTCCTAAAACCTTGCCTTTTTGCTTTAACATTGCTTTCTGGACTGGAGACAGTGATCAGCACTACCTTCGTTACTCTAGCTCCATATTTTTGTATCTCAAAATGCACTTTAATAAGTGGTATGAAATCCACAGAAAAAAATGTAAAAGTTAACTTTAATAATAAAAATAACAACATATTGACAGAAACCTGAACAGTCTACAGAGACTGGGAAAGTATTTGTAAGTTGCAAAGATTCCCTGTGACCCTCAAGAATATTTTGCTGAGACTTCTTGCTCTACAGGGAAGGGAACAACACAGTAACGATGGTTATTGGTATGAATGCCCCATGTGCTGTTCAGTCACAAGACTGAATAAACACTATATATCAAATGGAAAGGGTCCTGGGTTGAAGGAGGCAAGTATAGTAAAAAAAGAGGGAAATCTACAAGATGTCATCAATCACACACCGAAGTTTTAAGCAAAAGCGAGAAACGTGATTTCAACATGTTTATTCAAAGATAAGGTGCTTCAAAATGAATTTCCAAATACTTAATAGTTTTAGACTATTAAGATGGTAATAGGGTAGTTTAGAGTGTTTGAAATATTAAAACAAATCAAGCAATCATATCAACAACCCTCATTATAGATCCCTAAACTGAACTGGAGAGCATTTAAGTAGGTTAATCAAAGTCCACTGATGAATTGCAGGGATTTTTATGGCCCATTAATTTCAGTCCTGAGAGTTCTGATACTACTGCTATTACAGCTGAAACTATAACTTTTCTTTCTTTCAAAGGATATGTACAGCATGGATTTATTGTGACTTTAGACCCAGTTACGTGGAGGGAAATTACTGCAGTGGTTTCTCTAGTTAACACATTTACTAATGTTTCCTTAATTTTCCACCCCAAGAGGCAATAATTAAGGTAGCATTGGCCTCACATGAAGTTTTATTATTTTAGTTATTAAAATACTTTCCAATACTGTTAAGAAGTAAAAAGAAATTCTAGTTCTTTTAGAAATAAGTAGACGTTTTCCTCATTTTTATAGCTTTACTCCATGAATGGTGGTCTAAAAGGCAAAGCAGAGTGCAGACTTTCTGGCGAAAACACTTGAGCACGAGACTAGGAGGAGATTTATTTGAGGGGAAAAACTGCATTCACTCTTAAAATTGGCTTCAAAAGCAATCCTAATATAAAGTTTAAAAATGCACATGGTACAGAATATACCTTACATAATTATCCATTTCCAAGTGGAATAATTCCATTTTAGATTCTCTGGGCTGCAAAATATCTTTAAAAAAGGCTTTCCCATCTCCTTTTATCATAAAAAGTCTCATGCTAGATGAATGTAAAATATACTGAAATGTAGATAAAGCTGCTCATGAAAATCTGAAACCTAATACAGGTATCTATTTACATGGTGGAGGCAACTGGCATATTTGATTGTAAAATAAGATTATTTTTCAAATCATATTCAGAGCCACCTGAGGTCTCCTTTCTCTTGGGTTTCAAAATTGCCACTGACACTTGGGGATTCACTTGTGGTGATATATCTAGTTGGTGGTTATCTAGTCTTTCCCTTATTCTTTCTTTCTCAAAAACAAAACAAAAGCAGAAAAAGGATAAAGTTTACTTCTAAATTTTATATTAACTTACACATTTACTGGGTTCTCATAACAGCAGCAAGAACAGTATTATCCCGTTTTTCAGTGTTTAATCTCAATGGGGGAAAATGCTGACTTTATGAAGTCTTCATGTGTCTGAGCAATTAAAATCAAGAAGGCCTGGCCTTGTCATTGACCATGAGCAACTGAGAATTTTGCCATTTACCATTTTGATTAAGCATCTTTCCCTCTGGTCCTTGGATGGAATGTGTTCTTTCTACAATTCATGTGAGCTGATAATTTTGGCTGGAAAACAGGAGTGGACAGTTCCTTGTGTTTATGGGAATGGTTAAAAAATAATTTCAGAAATTAGAGCACTCGTTCTTTGTGGATTTGCCTACCGTGTGGCTCTGATGCCTGAAAAGTAGCCAGAAAGAAAAGAAAGTATGATGCCATAATGAGCCTGCCTGGGGCTTTCGACACTGCCCTCTGCAGGAATTCTATTTCTGGTCAAAGTTGCCACATGAGCTTAAACTTCATCTAAATACTGGTAATGTGGCATCAGTACACAGGCAGATTAACAAACCCAGGGCCTTTCCAACACGCCCCCCACCCCCCACCTCCTCTCCTACATTTAAAAATACTGGCCAGACTAAAAGTGTAATATTCTTTTGGAAATAGCATAAAGTAAGCCAGATGGATTTCATTTGGCAACTAAAGGGTGTAAATATGTGTTTAGATTCAGAGGTTCCCCTAGACAATGGTTACAAGATGTTGGCTACAGTAAGCTCAGGGTTTCAATGTCCGGCATTTAAAAATTCTATATTTAAGCAGTAATAAAAATTATGACAAGTAGACAACAGCCATCAAACTCTCAGTTAAATTTTCAGTTCCTCTCTCATACAACTGGAGATAGGCATATAATGCATATTCCGAGTGAAAAATGCAGCATTTACATTTTCATGTTTAATTTCCTGGCTATTTATTGGCAGAAGGGGCTCTAGTAAGCTAAATTTCACTTCTGATTTTTTCCTTGTAACTGATAAATCAGAGGGAGGAAGAAGCGTCCAGCAGCTCATTCTTGGAGCTGGCTGCTTACAGAAAATTTAGAGGTGAAAGAGCCATGGATCATGCTGTGCCATGAATCTCTGAAGTCATTGAAAAACATGCCATCTGATCGTAACTGCCTGAAAATGAAAAAGCATTCCCCGTAAAACCGTTCTTTTCTTACAGTGATGGAGACAAAAGAGGGCAGTGATGAAACAGAAGTACTAGCTTGCGTGCGTCTACAAGACTGTGGGTCTGCTTACACTGGGTAGAATTGTTTTCTTTTCTTTCAGCTGACATCAACTTGCATGTAGGAACATTCAGCAGATCCCAGCTGGTGACAGTTGGCTGCTGACTGGCTACAGGCCGAATGATAACTATTGACTATGCGGTTTTCACCGGACAGGGGCTCTTGTGCCAGACTCCGGTCCTGGCTGTTTTCCTCGATCAGGTGAAACCAGGGGCAGATGGGCTGCCCTGAAACTCAGAAAGGCTTTCCCTTCATTGTTGAAGCTTAGCAATGTAGATTCCCAAACAAGAACAACAACAGAGCTATTTGCTATTATTTGTTGAGGGACGTGGAAGAAGTTGTTTGGTTAACTCAGTGCCAGTTACCATGGGGCTGAGATGGTAGATGGTCTATTGTTATATTTATCGCCCTGCTTTTTTGTACTGTCTCATGTAGATCCTTTCTTATTTTCCTTTTTCTTGTACCCTCCTGCAGTATCAGATGTTTGAAAAAGTAAGGTAAGGAGCACATTGAAAACTTAGAGGCAATCTGAAATCTACCTTGACACAGCTGTAAAGCTCGCACATTCCTGAGCCTGGCCTAAACAGACTGCTAGTCAGTCTGAACTGTGGTGGGATGGAGATGTTTGTGTAAAGTATAAAGTAACTCAAGTTTGCTAGACCCAAGAAGGAAACCACCAGACTAATTTACTTCCACTCGAACTAGAATGAAACCAAGACCCTGAAGAAAGAAAACCTTTGACATTAACCATTGATCCACTTTAGTGAATTATTATGTTACAACCAGAATCACTGTGGTATTTGAATGATTTTGATGAAATATTTAATAGAGAGGCTCAAATAAAATTAAAGACATTTTCTTTAGTGAACATCTTGTGGCCAAATTCCTATGTTTATGAAAATATATTAAGCATCATGATAACTCATGGTAAACCTACAAGTTATTAATTACATTTGGGGTTTCAGTAACAAATTCTGTGACATAGTAGCCTTATGATATGCCTCAAATATTAAGAATCAGAAAGAATGCCTTGAAGTTGTTTCTAGTCTCGGCAATTATACTTTGTAAAAATCCTTGCTTGACTTTTAAATCCAGTTGCTAAATATAAAAACTGTTCCTGAAAAATCAGAACACCTAATCATAAATTTATCTGTTTTGTTCTTTAAAGGAGAAAGATGGTGAGGAAAATAAAAAGCTCATGGCTGAAATCAAAAATCACAAGATGAATTCATCATTCGTCTAAAGACACTCAGCTGCTAAAAGAAGTCATGCTTTTAGAGGGCTGTTGAGGAGGGAGTAAGTCAGGATGTTTCCAGAACATGATTGCTGAGGAGTCAGACACAGGCTAGTCCCACAAGTTGCTTAACTGTCCGTGAACCCTGAGCCCACGACTTCAAGGCTCGGCAGCTTCGTCCTTCATGGCACCAAACCTTGATATTAGGGATGCAAAGACACACTCATAAGAATCACAGGTTTTCTCTTATTCAAAATTTGGGGGATTGGCTAAAAACAAAATAAAACAGGGGAGACTTATTCCTTTGCAAAAAGGATTCTGTGTTACCTGTCAGCTAAATCAATGCATAAAATATGTATGCATAAAAGCGATACAGTACAGAAGACATCAAGGTCAACTATTTAAAACAAGATTAAAGGGAATAAAGGGCTTTTACCTCTGTAAAGAAAAGAACATGCATGCATGGACTGTCTCTTCACATAAAGAACTAATGTATATTTTGCTATGGTTAGTTGAACCGTGAACTGCTGAGAATGTGGGGCTGTGAGAAGACTCTCAAGGTGCTCCATGTAAAGTCAGGGAAACTAAGTCATGGAAGGAGTGCAAGTGGGAGGCCCTGGGGTAAGCTTAATGCTATTCCAGGGCTGTCCCTGCAAGGCAGGGACCCCAATATCACCATGGACCTCCCCAGAGACTCATTCTGTGTAGCACTCTTGATATCCATGCTGTGTTTCTATCATGTGAATGAGCTGGAGTAAAAGCTAACCCTTTCCCCTGATCCACTTGTGCCATTTTTAAAAGACACCATCAGACTTGGAGACAGGGGGTGGTTAAAAGAAAGGACTTCTATTTTTTAAAAAAAGTTGTTTTTTTTTTTTTTTTAAATAGAAGACTGGGTGATGATGTAAGTGAAGTCTGCTTGTCCTTGGATAGAGACCCTTCCTCCCACCCTTATCCCCTTTTGACAGTTGCAAAATAGCTTAGTCCAAGGAAAGGGGAGAAGACAAATGAATAAAATAATGCCAGAATCACCGTTGCCAGGAAAAACACACTCTGATTCAGTTAATTTGTTCTGTTAATGTCAAAGGCTGCGATTCCCAATTAGCTAATTTTAAGAAGCTCTAACTGAAAATAGCTATATCAGCCCTAACGTTAGTGTTTGGTCAAACATTAGGATCTTCAAGTAAGAGAATAGGGCCCCTAAAGAGGTACTGAGGTCTGTTTAACAATATCTTGCTAAACAAGGACACGACTAAATGGGGTTTTCCAACTGGGTTTCAGCCCCTGCAGAGAAGCTGATGGAGGTGAGAAAGGAGGGAGACACACCAAACCTTCTAGCAATAGAAAATGTTTCCCAAGTCAGATTTGTGTACAGTCAACTTTCTAATGGCAGAATCATCCCTGTTGGTGAGCCTCTTTGGGACAGAAATGCTTCCCTAGTTCAGAAGGAATTAATTAAAGCAGGCATATAGTTTGCAATATTTCTAGCTCCCTCACTGAAAGGCTCCATGCACATAAACCAGAACAGCTTGAGCAGCTGAGAAAACCTGGGCCAAAAATGACTCCACCAGCCTCTCTCCTTCCTCATCCTTTACATTGGAATGGAAAGATACAATAATAATCACTTAAAAAAAAACACACACACCCAGAACACTCATGGTTTCTGTACAACTGTAAGCACTTTCATTATGTCTGAATAGGGTCATAATAAATATATGCTCTTAAAAGTGAAGATCACAACCTGCTAATGAAATTGTGAATTACCTAGAAGAAAACTATGCACGGGCACACAATGAATAGCAGAATCTTTTGCTGCTAAAAGTTGTTTTTGCCTTTGTAATATTAAAGCCCAACAGGGAGCTGGTGGGATACCCCTTGTGCTGTCTTGTCATATTATGAGTTTCTGGTTTCAGATAAAAGGGGAGAAAGGGCCCTTAAGAAAGCAAAGGACTGGGGAAAAAAATTAAATTTCCTTCTCGGAAAGCTAAGGATTGGTTTTCTGAAGATGATGGATAATGGCATTTCAAGTTTTTTAGATTTTAATAGAGAAAATGGAGGCAAGTCATGGAGGGAAAAGAGAATACATAAATAAATAGAACAAGGTGAAGTTTCCACAAGAATTCCCTCAACTTTTTCTTTCTTTCTTTCTATCTCTGTCTCTCTTTCCTCTCCTCTCTCTTTCTTTTTTTGAAATCTTAAACCTCATTTCTGGCTTGCATTTGGTAGGATTCCTGCTCTGGCTTTTATTAAAAACAGACTTTATGTGGTCAGAATTCTCCATCTAAAGCTAAACTTTAATAGGCATAAGGATCCTGACAGAGTCTTTCTTGCTTTCTCTCAGGTGACCACCCCCCTACCCCTCCAGGGATTTCCCTCCCAATGCGCAGAACTGGCGCCGAAACTCGAAGGCTCAGCAGAAAACAACCAACTTTCCTCTTTTACTCAGAACTCTCATTTCTGTTTTACATTTGAGACTCTTTGCAAGGCCAGATCAAATTAAGTCTGGCTCTAACTTAAGAATACTCTAAAAATTTTGAGTAACACAACTGTTGTCCTATAAATTCCCGAGTGCAGACGACTGAAACTTGGAGGTTTCCCTCTCCAGCTCAGGTTCTGGAGGCCGATTCCTGCCGGCTACCCTCTGTGAGCAAGCTCAGAAATACCAAGGGCAACTCCACCTGGCTTCACAAATCAATTTAGCATTCAGCAGTATCTCTGAAGGGTACTGGCAAGCCAGCTTATCTGAAACCAAGAGGTGAAGCAGCCAAGAGAGCAGGCAAAGACATGCACTTTCATTCCTGAAGACAGGCATCCCCAAGTTGCTCTGGTTCCTTCTTATAGCTAAACAGACAAAATAGCCGTCTTCAAGGCTCCTGTGTGGGACTCTAACATCCCTCCCCCAATGACCTCCATACGTTCTTGGCACAATGGCAGACCTTTTCCCAGTCAATTTTAAGTTTCCTTAAAAAATAATTTAATTTTGCTTATAAGTGAGGCTCAGTGTCACTTATGCTTGATTACATGGAAGGGACAGTCTTTTGAATGCTGAAGTACAGAAGTTCTCAAGGGGCGGGAGATTAACTCCCCCAAACCAGTGACAATGTCTGGAAACATTTTCAGTGGTCACAACTTGGTGAGTGCAACTGACATCCAGTGGGTAGAGGCCAGGATGCTGCTAAACGTCCTAAAATGCACAGCACGGTCTGCACAATAAATGCGTCCATAGTGCTGAGGTGGAGAAACCCTGACATTGTGGTTAGGAGACTCGGCTCTGGAATCAGACTGCTCAGTGTTGAAGTCCAGCTCTGTTAGGGCCGGGTTGAGTGCCTTGGGCAAACAGCTTAACCTCTTCATCTAGTTTGTACAATGGACAATCACCTAACTCGTGGGGTTGTTGTGAGCATTAAACAAACATGTACGTGCAGAGCTCTCAGGACAGTGCCCAGCATACGTCGTGGGGGTGGTGGTTTAGTCACTAAGTCGTGTCTGACTCTTGTGACCCTATGGACTGTAACCCACTGGGCCCCTCCATCCATGGGATTTCCCAGGCAAGAATACTTGAGTGGGTTGCCATTTCCTTCTCCAGTGGGTCTTCTCAACCCAGGCATCGAACTTGGGTCTCCTGCATTGCAGGCATATTCTTTACTGACTGAGCCACCAAAGTCAGATATGACTAAAGTGAGCACATGCGCACGCAAAGCAAACATTGAGAGCTCAATAAATATTTTCATTTTTATTATTATTACTAGAATTTAGCTCAGTTCCAAGTAAATTATAAGTCAAATCTACTGAGGTTAGAGGGAAAAAAAACTGGTTTGAGAGTACATATAACCTCTCTGATAGGGACCACAATGGTGATGGCAATTACAACCACCGGAATTTACAGTCTCTTTCAAATACCCCATCTCATATGATTTGGGCAACAACTTTGTTGGGTCTTTATTTCATAGATGAGGAACTCATGGCTCAGTCTGAGTTGCCCAAGACCTGTGGCAAATCAAATCTGATTTCACATTCCCTTCTATTCCTCTACGCCTCCCTTTGTTTAGTGGTTTAAGACGCCCCTTCTTTTCTTCATTACACCCAACAGCCCTGAAGATTGAAATAAATGTAAGCACTGTAATCAGAGGGTGAGGTGACTCAGACTTCATGGGTGGGCAGAAATCACTTCTCTTTTGAAAGTACATGCACAGTAAGGTTTTCCTTCATGGAATATACAAATATTTTAATCCTCTGACTTGAACTTCTAAAAAATTAGCTTTCTCTATGGGCTATTTTCCTTCCTTTTTAAATTTCTGATGTTGAAAAAAAACCCTAATTCCCTCTATTTTCAAAATCTCTAATTAATATATTGACTGTAAATGTATGAAGGTGAGACTATAGTTTCAAATATATGTGGTATACGTTTCGAGTTTGTTATTTATTAGCTATTTTGTTTCACAATTAAGCCTGAAAATTTGCTTATAAATGCCAAAATGTATTATTCAAATGTACAATGTTCTGTCTTATTTATTGTCAGTGACTGTACACAGCAGTCATATGTCTGTGTTAAAATAAAAAACAATTGCAGATGGATCAGCCAGATTTTTGCTCAGCCTACATTAAAGTTAGTAACATTGGGTTTAAGGGTCAAAGTTCGGAGGGCAGATGGATAATATTCCTTGAAGTCAATGGTTTTATAGAATTCCTCTGGTAATAGAAGAGGCTAGGCTTTAGCTTGTGATGCTCTGGTGACCTAGGGAGCACACAGCTTGCAGCAAACCAGCCACTGGCTCTTTCATTTCAAAGCTCTCTGTCAAATTCTACAAACAGCCGTCAAAATGTCATTCATCTGGACCTAAGTTTCTGGGGTTCATTTAGTTTGTGCCAGTAGAGAAAGGAGAGTGTAGTCCATATATTGGTTTCTAAATGGAGTCATGGGCTCAGCAATCTTCCTATGATTCCCCTCCGGGGGGAGGGGGTACCACAAACGTGTATGACAGTATCTTTGCCATTTTCTTTTCCAAATCAATTTTGTCTGTCAAGCTATGAGAAGAGAACCCACGAGCATCCCGCTCCCGAACCCCCTACTTCAGCTGCGTGCAGAACACTCACCTCGGGACGCTGGGAGGGGCCCTAGTGGGCCGAGACGGAACCTGCGGAGGCGCCCCGAACGAGTCACTGCTGTTGGGGAAAGGAGGTAATGGGCCGGGCCGGAAAGGTACTGGCGGCGCCCCTGAGTGGGGTCCCGGGGAGGGGATGGCGGGTGCGGGTCCCCGGCCGGACGTGGGTCGCGGGAGGGGTGCACTCAGCGTCGGCCTCCTCTGGGTGGTGGGGCTTGGAGGGGGGGACCTGGGGACAGAGAGAGACAGCAGTTTGCCCATCCTCCTTTCCATCAGAAAGTGAAGTGAAGTCGCTCAGTCGTGGCCGACTCTTTGCGACCCCTTGGACTGTATGTAGCCCACCAGGCTCCTCCGTCTATGGGATTCTCCACGCAAAAATACTGGAGTGGGTTGCCATTTCCTTCTCCATCAGAAGTCATCCTTCAAAAATGTTATAATTGACTACGTTTAAAAAAGTATTGTCTGACTAACTCAGATACACATTAGGGATATTATAAAAGGGTAAAAGGTGAAAGGAAGTTTCCTTCCCCACCCGTTCCTCTGTGGAGACAACCAGTATCTTTCCCTAGGTATCCTTTTTATCTATATTCTATAATATCTTCTGTCTCTCATATATATATATATGTGCATAAATTGCTTTCTTGTACACAACGTTCTACAACTTAAATTTTTTTTTAAGTTTCACATTAACTGGACTGTCTTTTCACTTCAGTACTTATTCTTTTTAATGGCTGTATAACATGCCATTGTCCAGGTATTTTGTGCTTGTTTTTGAAAGGAGCTGAGACTATCTGACTCTCTCTCTCCCTCCTGAACTTAAATATTCCTTTTCCTCTTTTTGCTTTAGGTTCATATTGGTTTAGGGAACCACATTCAGAAAACAACTCTGGACTAGCTGGGAGGCCTCTGGCATTGGGGGCACTATCTTCCTACCTGCGGGAATGCTGGATCCAGGAGTCGTCCACGGGTGGTGGTGCGGGTGTGAATGTCGTGGCTGTGTTGATATCACCGATGACCACGAGGGCTTCTTTAAGGGCCTGGTACATTCGAAGCATCTCGTCCCGGCGCTGAGCCTGCTCCGCAGATTCCTCCATCAGGGTATTTTGGTCCTCTGAAGAATATAACTGCGCTAGGAGCTCGGAATTTATGAAATCTTTAACCTGTTGAGTCACCGCAGAAAAGTGAAAAATGGAAATGAATGAGTGACTAAATGATAAATTGGTTCAGAGCCTGTGGACAAAGTCCACAAAAGTATACTCTGGGAAAGGGGACACATCATGCATGTTTACTTTTCTTTCTTCATTAGTCTCCCAATGCCAGTAACAGTTTTCCCTCTCTGACTTATGGCTGTTGGTACTAAAGAAAAACAGGTAGTTGAAAAGAGGGCCAAACCTTGCCATCGTCAGAACAAGGCCTATTGGTTGTACAAGCATTTCTGCAATGTTGTCTGTGGCTGCTTGGTTTATAGACAAGGGAAAGTACCAGGAGGTAAGTGGTGGTATTTTCAGTAGGAAACAATGATGTAGGGAAACTTAGGTAATAACACAAGCTATGTATTCCTTGGTATTTCAGCCCTTTACCTATCTTTTACCAAAAATCACTGGAATACTATTAAGACCCCAGGTTTCCATGTTATCTCAAAAGTGGAATTAGTACCAGTAAGTGAATATTTATTAAATATAGAATCATATATAATTATGCAAGTTTGTTTACCAAAAAAATGATACATTCTCTGGTTTCTGGAGCTTAACAGTGATGAAGACTGACACAAGGTTCCATAGTTAAGCTTCTATGACATAAAGTTCCATATAAGAAAACAAATTAAAATATGAACAATTCATGTAAGTCTTTGGGGGGGGGCATTTTGTGTCAGGATGAGAATGGAAAGGATGCACTGTCACACAGCCTTGAGGGAGAGAGAATCAATAACTGCATTTCATCAAGTCTAAAATACCCCGGATTTTGAGACATACCACTCTTTTACGTGCCACTAAGCAAGGAAAACCACCATCAGCTAAACTACAACAGAATGCCAAGGTATCACGGAGTGTCACATGCATCTTCATATCAGAAATGTTAAATGTGGAAAAAAGTGAATGTGAGAATCAATGAAATCCAATGTGTCTTCACAAGTTATCTGATTTAATTCTCACTGCATATGTATGAAGCATGTATTATTATCCCAATTTTATAGATGCAGGAACTGAATGAAACTCAGAAAGGTTAAGTAACTTGCCCAAAGTCACACAACATTAAATTGAACCCCACATTTTCGGACTTGTCTAGTGCTCTTTCCATGACCCCCTTGCCTCACTTTGAATGCCTAGAAAAGATAATTTACATTTAAGCATCATGATTATAGTGTGGTACACAAGTATGCCACTTAACTTAAGCCTAGGAAAATAAACCAACTTGGATTTTTCAGTGCCTCTGTTAAGAGAAAGTTAACACTAATCTAGAGTCACTGGATCTAAGAAAGGCCAAAAGCAAGTATATTTAATTGTTATAAATTCAAGCAGACAACAGAACACCTGTCGGATGCTCAAGATTCCTCGGTTGTTAAATTTGTTACTCAGAAATGACAAGTTTCTAATGTAACTTCACTATATAACTTTCACTATTTTTTAAAGGTATCAAATCATGTAAATAATTCTACTAATCAGAGAATTCAGCTAAATCACAGCTCTGTTGTGAAATAAATAAAAACTGTTCTGTCTACATATTCTGTAAACCAGGAGTGATTTAAATGTAGAAGCAATCTAATACATAAGATGTATCCAGGCAACTGTCTGGGGGAAGGGGAAGTTTATGTATGATAGCTGTAGAAGGTAAATTTGGCCAGGTAACCCTGGGGCCAGATGTGAAGGCCTTGAAAGCCAAGGAAAAGTATTTGAACTTTATCCACTTGGCAATGGGGAGCCATGGAAGGCTTTTAAAGCAAGTAAGTGAAATAATAAAAGAGAGTTTTAGGAAAGTCAATCTGGCTGTGATTGGAAAAGAATTTGCAAGAGTGGTAGTAGAGATAAAGAATTCTGTCAGAAGACCACTGCAGATTTATGGAATGATAAGGGTTTAATTTAGCAAGGCTGCTGTGGAATAGAAAATATGGGCACAGATAAATGATATTATAAAGGAAAAACCAGCTGGATCTGGTGCTGTTTGGATATGAGGGGCAAGGAAGAAAGGAACAAAGACCCTTCAAACATTGAAGTTTGGGTGAGTGGAAGTCAAGGAAAGTCAGGTTTAGAGAAAAGACAGTAAATTTGGCTTAAGAACTGTTCTCCTCCTTGAAGATTTATTTACTGCTAAACACACTTGTAGGTACCCAAGGAGTCATGCACGTTTGCACAAATCTTCCACTGTGAGGTGTGTAAGTACTTGGAGAGATGGTGCGACTCCAAACTCAAAACCAGACAAGTTTCCTGGCATTGACCATCAGTCGGGTTAAGCTCTTTTGAAGCTTTACATCTTCCTGGAGTATCACTTAGAATCTATTAAACACAATTTAAAAGAAGGTCCTTCCAAGAATAGATTTAAAGCAGATCTGAATTAAGAAGCAACTGTCAAACAAACCACGAAATAAAATAATAAGAGCCTGCTTCGGCATTTTGATCAAAGATCTGCCTTGAATCAACTCTTCCACATCAAAATGTTACATGTTAAAACCTGCCTACTATCCAATAGATTTGGCAATGTCCTGAAATAATATGAATGATTTTAGCATAAGAGAAAGTGGCAATATAGCACAGTGGTTAAGGGCATATTCTTTGGAATCAGACAGCTCAAAATTTGAGTCCTACAGGACTTCCCTGCTGGTCCAGTGGTTAAGACTCCATGTTTCCATGGAGGCTCAATCACTGGTTGGGGAACTAAAATCCCACAAGCCACGTGTCACAGTCCAAAGATGAATTTGAGTCCTAGCTCTAACATTTATAGTTCTTAGACAAAAAACTTAACCTTTTTGAGTTTCAGATTCCTGATCTGCAAAATGAGGTTAAGGGTAGGAGCTGCCTCAAGGGTTGGTATAAGAAAAAAAAGAGTTGGTGCAAGGATTTGGTGAAACAGTGAATATATATTGCCTAGCATGATGCCAGGGCTTCCCTGGTGGCCCAGATGCTAAAGAATCTGCTTGCAGTGAGGGAGACCTGGGTTCGATCCCTTGGTCGGGAAGATCCCCTGGAGAAGGGAATGGCTACCCACTCAAGTATTCTTGCCTGGAGAATTCCATGGACAGAGGAACCTGGTAGGCTTGATGCCTAGTACTTAGGCAGTGCTCCATCAACAAAAGCTATTCTTTTTATAGTATAAGGTCTAAATTGAGATTCGGTATGTAGAGGTAGGCAGCTAGGGCAATAGTGCCAGCATCAAGTAACATAGTTCATGTAGAGCAAAGTTAACATTTATTTTGCATGTAAGAAAATTTGAAACTCTTCTCCTCCTGCTAGCCTCACTTTGTAATGCTACAACTGGAACAAAGGTAGGGGGGGCTTTGGGGAGTTTCCAGATACTTTAGGGACTTTCTGAGCAGTTTGTATGTCAATGGTACAAATATTTAAATCAAGGATTCTGCACAATTGGAGGCCAAGTGGATCCCTTTTAGATGATAGCATTGAGAAAATACCTCACAGAACATGACCTAAACTAATTATACTTGGATGTGAGATTTCAAAGAATCTTTATGCCTTTAATTATAACACCTTATAACCTATACATCTTTGTGAGGTTCACCAAAAAATTCTCACGCACAAAGCCTCATTCCAGTTCAAACTCCACAGGCTAGATAAACAGGCATTACTGCACCATGTCGTTCTGCTCAGTGTAAAGGAATGTGAGGTCATTAAAAATGTTCCACATGTTTTCCTCTCTTTCTGACTTTAACCCTTCTCTAGCAACCTGCAGTATTTCTGAATCTTTAACTTTCCTCTTTGTCTTTATTAATAAAACCATTTAAAGCCTTCACAAACAGAAGAGATACTTATAAAGTTTTCATACAGTTCAGTTACTAAGAAGACCATTTCCTTAAAACCTTTTTGTTTTGAGACAGGAGGGGCCACAGAATGGCGCAGTGATAAGTTTCATTCACATGAATACACCTATAAAAACTTAATTAAGAAGTTTAATTGTGTTAAGCTTTAGAGAGGGGCTTGGTTAGAATTTATAGATTCTTTGGGATCTCACAATTTTCTCATTTCTACTTGAGACTGCTTTCTGTTTCCCAGGGATTTCATTTTGGTAAAGACCAACCAAGTTTTCCTTCTTTGAAAAGGAATATCCTTTGACTCACAAAGGTTGAGCAAAGAAGATGGGCAGAAAAAAGTACATACTGTACAATTCCAAAGTTCAAGTATAGGCAGAATTAATCTATGATATAAGAAAGCAGGAGAGTTACCCTTGGTGGTGAGTGATGGTGGGGGTGGAGGGAAGCAAAAGTGGGGCTTCTGGGGCTTCTGGGTCTTAGTTGGGATCTGTTTCTTGAGCAGGATACAGAATTCTTGACTGGTGGAAACAAATCAGTGCTCTGGTATTTAAGATGTCCTTTCCCTTCAAATAATGAATGTTTAAAATAACACTCTACTTCATACACATTAAAGTTACAGTAAGTTGTGAAACTAGGGCACGTGTTACTAATTTTCCACCAAAGGGCTAATGGCCAAGGAGAGTGAATGTGGACCTCCAGAGGTCTAGGGGCACAGGCTCCAAGTGTGAAATGCCTCTAGATTTCGTATTTGGTTCTTAAAATGTTTCATAAAACTTTACATTCTATTTCATATTAGCTGGGTTTGTTTGAAAACGAGGAACAATGTTTTAAATTACTTACTAGTTAAGATTCAAAACATTGTTTCTTGTATTCAAACAAACCCTAATCAAACTTTCAAGTAAAATGAACCCTCTGGGAAGACAGACATGTATATGCTATGTGGATCAGAGCCCACCCCCCTAGTTTGAGAAGACTGACTTAGAATGTTCTGAATCTTGCCATGTGCACTCTCTGGTGGTGGACTGGAGAGAATATCAGACCATGAATGAGAAGACATGAAGGTAGATTTTAGTCATGATCCTGCCACCACCAGCTGTGTGATCTTGGGCAAGTCACTCAGCCTCTTGAGGCCTCAACTTCTTCATTTGAAACTGGACAAAATCATGAGTACCCAAAAGGTGGCTGTCCTATTGGTTCAAACACAGACTTAAGTGCCACTTTGCCACTAACACTTCAAATAAAGCTGGATTCACTTTCTTGATTCTCTGATCAAGAACTGCTGGTAGTATGAGCTAGAAGAAGAGGCTATCAAGATATGCTTGCTATGCAGTGTTATATGTGTGTTTTCTTTAAAGTCTCAAACAAAACTCTGTCGCTTTGCCTGTAGCCTGTCCGGAAAAACCGCCTGTCATAAACTTGCTATTTCTTTGTGCCGCTGTTACCTGGTATGTTTAAGCAATGAAACAGCTGCTGCATTTCAATAGACAAAGGCTTACAGTATGTCTGAGGCGAGGCATTTATTGCTGGCTTTAAACTTCTTAAACAATTCCATATGGAGACTTGAGTGGCAGAACACTTAATGTAAACTTTCAAAGGAAACTGCCCACCAAATTCTGAACTTTATGAAAGTTGGCTGAAACATATTCGTTTTCAGAAGGCAGAGTAGCCATTCCCATTTCATAGAGGAAAGGCCACAGCCTGGCTTTCAATAGTGATAGTTAACAAATAGAGGACCCGGTTTTAGGCATTTATGGGTTCTGCAGGAACAACTAGCTTTTTCACCCACAACCATTTATAGAAACAGCAGGGTAAGTAGATGGAATTCAGAATGAGGAGTCAAAGTATTTGTTTTTCTTGTTATGATTCTATGATTAATTCTCTCACTTGAAGATCTCTTCACTTTAAGTTAAAAAAAAATCAACACATATGTATGACACAGTGCTGGGTGTTCAGTGTGTTTCTGTTCCTCGTACTCAAAGGGGTGCTTTTGGAATGAACAAAAAGGGATCAGATGTTCTGCACCATAAGATGTCATGAGAATGTATTTTTTAAAAAGGGGATTTGTATTTTTACATATACATAATTATACATATAAATTTATATTATTCACACACATATAGAAAACTACATACTTTCATTTTTGTTCAGTCGCTAAGTTATGTCCAACTCTTTGCGACCCCATGGACTGTGGCACACCAGGTTCCATTGGGCTTTCCCGGCAAGAATATTGGAGTGGGTTGCCATTTCCTTCTCCAGGGGATCTTCCCAGACCAGGGACTGAACCTGCATTTCCTGCATTGGCATGTGGATTCTTTACCACTGAGCCACCAGGGAAGCTCTATATACTTTTACATATACGGTTAAAATGTAGATGAAATAATATCCAAAGAAAAGTAATCATCCTAGATGTATAAAACTATTTTCTGGTAGATACGAAAAATTACATTCAAACAAAGACAGCCATAATGTCATAAGAATCCAGCATTACATAATGTTTTTACTTTCTCCACATTCCTATCAATCTCTACTTCAAGGTTTGACCTTGGAGATCAAGTCTTAATTGAAGTCTTCTTTCTCATGACTCTTATGTGAGGTCTCCCTGAGGACAATTAGCAGAACTTCACTTCCATGGATAATACCCTTAGGTAGGGGTTTTGCCATCTCAGAAAGCAAGTGAGTGGTGAGGGGTGAGGGCAATTATCCTCATGTTTCTTTGTGTGTGTGTGTTTCTTGAGAAGGTGAAAGTAGGATAGATCTGCAATCAGTTTTTTTTTCCTCCTTTTGACTAATTTATGTCAAACCACTCCTCACAGCTATAGACAGGAAGTGCTATTTCCTGTGCTGATGATTTAATATAGTGCAGAGCAGAGCAGCGTTTGAACTGATGGCAGCACTAATGACTCTCGGTAAAACAGTGAAAAGATAAATGATTCTTAATCAGGAAAATGTTTAAATAAGCAAGTGCCTGGATTCCACAGCAAAACAACCTGAACTCATTTAAGTGAAGTTAAGAGGGTAATTTGAAAAATACACAGACTATTTGTTTAGTACTTTATATTTTTCAAAATGGCATAGAGTCACATTTATTATGTTCTCTGACAATTCTGGGGGGCAGCTCAGGGTTCCTAGTATAGTTTTAGAAGTGACTGAGTTCAGCCTAGAGGGGCCAAATGATTTGCTTCAGGTCACACAGCAGGCCATTGACTAAGCTTAACTATATAATTTATAGTTTCCAATATATTTCCAATACATTGCTTACCTGCTGCTGATACTTCAAAGCATTCTACTCACCTTGTTTGAATAAATGAAATGTGTATGAAAATAAAGTGAGTTAAAAACAAGATTGCTCATGTGACTGGGGTCTTCAAGTCAAAGAGCTCATACATCATGAACAACAAACTGTCAAACTTAGAATTTTGAAAGGAATCTTAATATATGGATAATGGTTATTTCAATTCTTTAGTAGGCAGCTATATTAGTTTCTTATAACTATACTTTTAATTGTATTGATACTTACATATATACTATCTTGGGGAACAAATACCTAAGCCAGATACCTTTTTATGATTCATATTTTATATATGGAGGAAATAAAGACACAAAGGACTGTCTTAGGTTAAACCTAGACAGTGTATTAAAAAGCAGAGATATCACTTTCTGACAAAGGTCAAAGCTACGGTTTTCCCAGTAGTCATGTACTAATGTGAGAGTTGGACCATAAAGAAGGGTCAGTGCCGAAGAATTGATGCTTTCGAACTCTGGTGCTGGAGAAGACTCTTGAGAGTTCCTTGGATAGCAAAGAGATCAAACCAGTCAATCCTAAAGGATATCAACCCTTAATATTCATTGGAAGGACTCATGCTGAAGCTGAAGCTCCAATACTTAGGCCACATGATACGAACAGCTGAGTCATTGAAAAAAGACTCTGATGATGGGAAAGATTGAGGGCAGAAAGAGAAGGGGGCAACAGAGGTTGAGACAGTTGGATGGTATCATTGATTCAATAGACATGAGTAAGCAAACTGAGGGAGACAGTGAAGGACAGGGAAGCCTGGTGTGCTGTAGTCCACGGGGTCACAAAGAGTCAGACATGACTGAGCAACTGGACAATAACAGCACAGTTTGAAGCAAAACCAAGTAGAGAATCCAGGTTCCTCCTGAATTCCAGGGTGGGGCTCTTTTCTACTTTACCATCTAATTTTTGTTACAAGCAAATGCTAATAATATATTATTGATTTAAATAAAAATGTGTCCTTAGAAGGTAACAAGGAATAAATTGGTGTTTCACTTTTCAAGAGTCAGAAAAGCCTGCTATAAACATCCCATTGTAGCCTATCTTATCTAAAAGATAAGTTCTCAAATAAATTGTGGTATTATTTATAGTTTAGCAAAGTAGCTACCAAAAGAACCAAACCAGACCATGTAATTTAAGTATCATTTCCTGACTGCTGTAAAAATAACCATGAAAAGGGAAAGATTCTATGAAATATAGATCAATTACTTTGAGATCCTTGGTTCTATCATCTTGCCTTAGAAAAGAAGAAGAAACTGATTTTGTATCCATGGGGATAGGGCAAAAAGCCCTTTGCTAGGTTAAAATAGTATTCTATAATTTTTAGAAGGTGAGAAGAACTATATTACCATATTCTGTATGAATATGTAGAAAAGAATAGATATATTTTGTCTTTAATTTCAAAGCGTAGGAGCCAGGGTATCTGGTTTTATTCCTGACTTTGCAACTAATTTATTCCTTGACTATAGTGTTTTTGCTCTGTTTTATCATGAGCAAATTCACACCCTTCTAGAGGAGACAGCCAATAGGAAATAGCACTTTACTGTAGCTAAAAGTTTTATGTTTTCTTTCCTAAGTTCCCTTCCACTCAGTCAATTATCACTTGTAATGGAAAATGATAAGCCTGGGTAATAGGTGTTTTGACCATCCAGAAAATATCACAAAGAAGCTGAAGAGAGTATGAGCAATTTCCACACTAGTATGGGATTAGAAGTTAAAAATGAGACAGCTGATAAACACTTACATTATTGATCATAAGGTGCATTATTGTTTTGGGGATTAGGTCTCGGATACATTTGTTGATAATAGACATATAGGAGTCTACAAGGTTGCGAATAGTCTCCACTTGTCTCTCCAATTGTGGGTCCATAGAAAAGTTTTCTGCTTGGCCATTCTCATCATTTTCAGTCTAACGGAAAGGAAAGAAAAACAAGGATTATTTCACATTGATTCAGAAGAAAAAAAATACCAGACATTATCATATGATTGACTTCTGTTTACTGAATTTGAAGTTGTACTACCAGATGGTAACATCTTTATCTTATCAAACAGCCATTTATTCTGAAAAGAGATCAGAACCATGCAGTTATTATTCTACCTTTAGCCTGCCACAATCAAGGAAAAGCAAAATACTGGGATTCTGAATGAATGTTTAGACAGACAATCAGATAAACAGTGCACCTAACAACATACCTCTAGAGAACAATGTAATCTTAAGCCATTTGCAAGTTGGCCAAAGAACTGAATCCAAACATCTGATGCAGATGTAAACCTCTGGGAGGGGTCTCCAGGGATTCTATAGATTAGAAATAACCTTGGTGTTGTTCTGGAACTCCTAGGTCTGCTCTGGAATGGATCAGCACTTGGATCAGTCCAGATTTAAAACTAAATCTCCTAGGCCTGGCCTGGAGCCAAAATAAGAGATAGAGGGGATAATGCATTTTTCCATGCACTTGCTGGAATTTGTTCTATAAATTCATGCTTCTGTCATCACTACTAAAGGCTGGCTCCACTGTGAAAAACTTACAGTTTTAACTTCCAACTTGTTATTCTTTGAATAAAACAGAATACATCCAAACACAAAGCATTTATTTGTGCAACATGAGAGAAGCATCTGTTTTCTATACTCTGCAACTTGAGTTAATTAATTTTGGCTTATCCACCAGAGGCTGGGCTGGGCATCTTCCTCATTAAGGGCTGACCTGTTGGCTTGGCATTGAAATCAATTTAGAATAAATGGTCTCCATTTCAAGTCAGGTTGAACCATCTAAGCCCCAGAACATGATACAACTATTGTTAGTGGTCTGGCCGCTTTCTAGCATTTGGAAAGATTTAATTACTAATGCAAAAAAAGAGGGGGATATAATTTATTGCTTCCAATGTGGACATGAAGTAATTTTCTTTGGAAATGTACCTACTTTGATCTGCCAGGTTTTTAATCATCCAATCAGTTCTCGGCAAAGCACTGTGCTGAATTGCTTAAATGGATCTATAAATAAGTGTTAATTTTGGATCAATATGTATGTGTGAAAGGCATATTTGTAGGCCACAAGATCAACAATAACAAAGATAGAAATTAGTTCTAAACATTTATATAGGCTTCTGTTGCTTTTCTAACACCTTAAAAATATTAAAATAATATGTGCTCACTCTAAAACACAACAGTTACTTTCCAAACCTAAGAGTCGAATCGCATACTTCATGATGACAACTGGAGGACATTTCTGAGGCATCTTACTGCTACTGTAGCAAGAGAGGGGATTAGAAGTCTCAATAATGACAGTTGTTTCCCTATCCCATTTCTTTTTAAATGGTCTTTGGTCACTGAAAGAAGTAAATCAGGGAGTTCCTTACTTTTATTATTAATTTGCAATATAAGCTCAATAGGGTTTGGGATAAATAGGTAAAAAGCTAGGGTGATAAAGTGGTAAAGTGATAGAGGGAAGGTCAGCAAAGGCAGTGAAAAAAACTTCTTCCCAGGGCATTAAAAACTACTGCAGATTGTGTGCCACACAGCCTAAATTCTAGAATCAGTGGTAACTGCAATGTTGTCTTAAGGGTATCGTATTTGAAAGTACAAATTTAAACTCAGGCTTTATCAGGTACCCGTTGTGTGGCCACACCTCACTTATTTAATGTAACTGAGACTCAGCTTCCCCATCTTTAAAATGGAGATACACAAGTTTTCTCTGAAAAACTTGTGTAAGTTAAATGAGACAATGCATATGAAGTAATCTAGCCAAGGGCCTTGTGGGTTCTCAATAATGTTAGTTTATTTCTTTCCTTTCTGAATATTCATGGAATGAGTTAGAGAGCCACTTGGTTCTCAACACACATTATGAAAATTTAAGTTGAAAAATTGGAGCACAAGACATTTTCAATTCAAATAATATAAAAATAGCAAACTACTATTTTTAAATTGCCGTGTTTTCTACAAGCTAGGCTCTTTCCCTGGAATCCCCTCCTCCCATCTGTGAAGACCTTTTATCTTTCAAAAGTCAGCTTCACCATCACCTCTTCTAGACAAACTCCCAATGGCCCTCAGACCCACCATCACTCCCTGCACAGTACTTCACCTGTGTCTTGTACTACCATCTATGATTTATATCCAGCCTAGTTATGCTGCTCCCACTATTAGACTCCAGGGTCTTGTTTATTTCGCCCTTCTCAGCAGCTAGCACAAAGCTTGATGCACCAGAGAAAGAGAAGGAGGAGGAGGAGTTAACACTAAAAAGGCTTTGCCTAAATCAAGGAAGCTGCCTCAGTACATTTCAAGATCTCTAAGAGTGCCTATTTGTTACAAAATTGGAGATGAGAGGAATCCCAAGTTGATGAATTAGGATCCACTACTACTTAATCATAGTGAAAGTGAAAGTATTAGTTGCTGAGTCACCTCGGACTCTTTGCGACCCCATGGACTGTAGCCCACCAGGCTCCTCCGCCCGTGGGATTCTCTAGGCAAGAATACTGGATCAGGTTGTCTTTCCATTCTCCAGGGGATCTTCCTGACCCAGGGATCAAACCCAGGTCTCCTGCATTGCAGGCAGATTCTTTACCATCTGAGTCACCAGGGAAACCCTGATTATAGTGAGGATAATAAAATGACGATGAAATCATGTATATATCAAGTGAAAATACATGACCTATAGCTTTGTGAGGAAAACATCTTTTCCATAGAGCAATATATATCTCCATAATAGATAAAATGCATTTTAGTTCGTCTCTCTGACCTGAAACATATTTGGATTTTGCTGTCGTATTTAACAAAAGGGGATGATGGCATTTTAGCATCAACATACTTTCTCTGCCAGGAACATTTTTGAGCACTTACTGTGTTCTAGGTACTGTGCTAAACACTTTACATAGAAGATCCACACCAAATCTTAGGAGGTGGGTACCACTGTTAGCGTCAACCTAAGAGCATGCTGAGGCTCTGAGAGCTGAAACGTTCAATAAATATAAGGTGAATATAATGTGAAGGGCTATGATGGTAGCTCAGCTGATAAAGAATCTGCCTGCAATGTAGGAGACCCCGGTTTGATTCCTGGGTCAGGAAGACCCCCTGGAGAAGGGATAGGCTCCCCACTCCAGTATTCCTGGGCTTCCCTGGTGGCTCAGCTGGTAAAGAATCCGCCTGCAGTGCGGGAGACCTGGGTTTGATACCTGGCTACAATGTGAAGCCAATTTTTATTTTTTGTTAGGTATTAAAAAAACAAGAACTATTATGAAAAGGGGAAAAACCCATAATTTGTCAAATCAGTTTCACAGATAAAATAATAAATGTAAAAACAGTTTCTAGGAAAAGATGACATTTAAATACTTATATTTGTAAAAATAAAAAATATGATTGAGCCAAAAGAGAAAACCAGAATAAACAGTATTTATTAAAAGAACCTCTAGGAAAATGAAACACCAGGAAAATTATACCACCATTTCTATTTTCATATAGAAACACTAAATTTTGCCACTTAACCCTATACTTAAATTTTAGCTTTGCTTTAATTTTTGCATATCAAAATATGCAAAAGACATTGACTTTCACTTTTTGAAACCAGATGCAAGTGATAAGCAAAAAATTGGAGTGAATAGAGAACACTGAACAGTTCAATTCTCAACAGTAAAAAAAAAGAAGAAACATTTCAGAATAACCAGTAAAATAATTAGAAATTCTCTTTAGGTTTTGGAAATCCTAGTAGATATGTAGTTACATGCAAATCTTAACTACTCTGATAAGACCATGGGCATGATGGGGAGTCACAGAATTCAAGTTATGATTTTAGAAAGAAAGGAGTAACTGTCCCTTCTAATATGTCTAAGATGAATGGGGGAAATGTACATATGTAGAATTTTTTCCTTTAACCGAGTAACTGCAGAGAGCAAATGCTCCCTTAAGCAAATTCTCTATCATTCTCTTTTCTGTATGAATACTGTGTATGACTGTGTATTTTTTCTTTGTTTAAATTATAGGACTGTGATAGGATTCTTTGCAGTCGAAGCACTGAAGTGACAGCTGTTTATCATTATCCTCATCAAGGGAATGTAAAATAAAAATAGTAATTTGTCTCTGATCTTTGAGGCAAAAAAAGAATAGTCTGCAAACATTTAACCTTTTATGTGCAGGTTCATTGATGCTGTTTACAAAATGTGAATAATATTGTGAAAATCAGCTTTCCTTTGAAAAATAACAATGGACAGGCCTTCCTATTGTAATTTTTTTAAAATAGCTTTTGAGAAATCTAATGCAATGTAAATAATCAAAAATAACAACTCAGAATTGCTTGTAAAAATTAATATTATTTACACAAGTATTCAAGAAACGGCTGCTTTATAAAATTTTAATTTAAAAGCTTTCTCCTAAAGACTTGAAAGGAGACGGGAATGGCAATATACTCCAGTATTCTTGCCTGAAGAATTCCACAGAGAGAGAAACCTGGAGAGCTACAGTTCATGGGGTCGCAAGGAGTTGGATACAACTGAGCTACTAACACACAAAGACCTGAAACTTCAACAGGTCAAAGAATGAAGGAGCCAGATCAGAAATAATTCCTGCCATACCTCAAAGCATCCACTACAGAAAAACTCTGGGCTTGACCAGGATGTCTATTTTTCATATTTTGTCTTTGTCTCCTTCCTTTCCTTAAAGCTCTTACTTATGTAATAGGCTTCTTTGAGGATCTTGAAACCATCTAAATAAGGCTGGTAACTGCACTCTTTGGGGGCTTCCCAGGTGGCACTAGTGGTAAAGAACTCACCTGCCAATGCAGGAGACATAAGAGACATGGGTTCAATCCCTGGGTTGGAAAGATCCCCTGGAGGAGGGCAAGGCAACCCACTCCAGTATTCTTGCCTGGAGAACCTCCATGACAGAGGAGCCTGATGGGCTACAATCCAAAGAGGCTCAAAGAGTCG